TTTCTGCTATTATTTCTGTAAATATTCTTTTTATGTCATTTGTGTTGCCTCTTGCTGTTTCATTGACTCCTATTAGTCTTACATTATTTCTTTTTACCTCATCTTGCAGCTGCTGAATTGATTTTTCCTGGTTCCTTTTTTATTTTAAGAGATCCTTTCTTTCATGATTTTTAGCTGCCTTGCTGTCTTTAAGATCTGAGATTCTATCCTCAGCTTCATTCAAGTGGTTTTGCCAGCTTTTGGTGGAAGTTTTGATTTTCTGGACATCTGTTTGAATCTGTTTCATGCATTCTATTTCATTCCTATATTGTTCACTTACATTTCCATCAGTTTCCTATGCTTATCTATTTTTTTTATATATGTCTTCTTTAGATGTGCTGAGCAATTCTTTCATTATCGTTGTCATTTCATTTTTTATCCGAGAGATTATTTCTGATCTGATATCTTCTGTGGCCTGATGGAGTTGTTTCTTTACTTCCATTGCCATCATTTCAGCCATTTCAGGTATGTTTGCCAAGTTCTCCTATGTCAATGTCTCCTGGACTTGTTCTGAGTGGGGTGGAGTTCTGAGATTGCATCTTAGTTCTTCGTCTTGTCATGTTTGGTGTCAGTGGCAAAGCACTCAATCTCCCTCTTCTTTGGCAGCTCAGCAAAGTTGCTAATGTCCCTAATTTTTGGGGGGGCAGCCTTGCCCCTCAGTGGCTGCTGAGATGTGCTGCTTAGTCTGGGGTCTTCTGGCAGTTGTTGAAGTGTACCTAGTTCTTCCAGGTCTCAGATGCAAACTGCAATGTTGGTAGATCTCAGACTGTCTGATCCAGTGACCCCTCGCAGCTCAAGGCATGCATATGACCCAGAAGCAGTCTTCACTGGTGGCATGATAACGGACCACTTGGTCCTGTGTCCCCAGGCAATTCAGGTTATAGGCAGAGCCCAGACATAATCTTCAGGGTCAGTGGTCCATGTCTCTAGGCAGCTCAGGGCATGCACAGGACCCAGATGCAGGCTGCACTGGCAGTGATCAGGGACTGCCTATTTCTGTGAGCTCTGTGAAGTCAGGGCACATGCAAAGCCCAGATGTGAACCACAGTGTCTGCAGTTTGTGGACCAGGGCAGGTGCAGAGAGAGCCCAATTGTGAACCCTGGTGTTAGTGGTTTGTGGGCCTTTTGAACCAGTATCTCCTGTCTGCACTGGGTGCATGGAGAGTGGAGACACAGACTGTAATGGCGGCAGGGTCATGGGTTGCCTGCTCTGTTCCCAGGGAGTAGATTATAAAAAAACCAGGTTAAATAACCCTAAGTTATTGCAGGATGATCATGCCTGCAATCTCCCAAGTGAGTGGATAACAAAGGCTTAAATAAATCAGACAGTGGTAATGATTTTAGGGCACCAGGAGGGACTAACTTTCTTACAGCTTCAGTATTCTCTGAGTTAGCCAAAGACTGCTTTGGGTGGCCCATATTTATTAGGTTTTCAAACAAAGGGAGAGGATACCAAGAAAACATGAGGATCTTGCAGGACCTTGGGAGAATTTTCCCAAGTAGTAACTTGTGTCAATCAGGAGAACTATCTTGTCTTTAGGTTGGTATTTATTGTAGGAGTGTGGAGCCTGCAGCTGCAGTCTCCTTGTAGTTAATTGGGGTTGGAGCCAAATGTCCCAGCTGTGGTCTTATTTTGTCAGACAAGGTGCCTAAGCTTCAGACAACTCACAATAAACATGGAAAGCCAATTGGTTAATATTAAATCCTTCTCAGAGCCACTTTGTAGTAGTCCCCAACAGTAGATGGGAAATACCTGGTTCTCTCAGTGTTCAGTTATGAACTGTGATGTCAGTAGATCACAGACAGCCCGATTCTGTGTCTCTAGGCAGCTTGGGAGTCTTGCAGGAGCTCCTATTTCTTTAAATATGACTGCCACTCCCACTCTCACTTTTCCTCTTTTAAGACCAGCATGATGTTCTCAAGAGAGTTCCTCACACATGCTCTGTCTCTTATTCTCTCTTTCTGTATTTTCCATCATTTTTTCTCACAGGGTTTTAAACTGTTTTCTTCTAATATATCTGCATGATTTGAGCAGTCTTTCATTCTTTCATCTGGTAATCTGAGCAGTGTAGTTGAGGATAACGACATGTAATGTAACAACCACTGCTGATTCATATTATTTTGTCTTGAGACTCTGTATCACTTTGAATGTTCTTGCTTTGATTTGTTTATGTTTGTGATACTGGTATGCTGCTACCGTTCTATTTCTTTGTTTCTCATTTGCTACTCTCTTTAAAATAAAAAAAATAAAGTCTGGGATTTGGAATTAAAAAAAAAAAGACAAATGAGAATCCTCGTTGTCAAGACAGGTGATGTGAACAAGGGGAAAAGACTCATGCCAAGAATCTGTTCTAGGACTCTAACCTAGGGAGTCATAGAGCAAATGGATGAGCTCTGGCTCTCAAGTCCTCTCTAGCATAATAACCTGGTCATTAGTAAAAGGGTAAAAAGGGAGAGAAAGCATCCATATGAGACCATAAAATTATGAGACTTCTGTAGCTAGGTTAGAGTGGCATTAAAGGAGATGTGGTTACAACTAAAAAGAAATCAGGGTGAAAGAAGACAAGATCAATTAAGAATACAATTTAGAAGCAGCCAGGTATGGTGATGCCTGCCTGCAATTGCAGCACTTAAGAGATTGAGGCAGGAGGATCATCATGAATTCAAGGCCAGCTTGGGCTACATATTGAGCTCAAAGCTACCTGAGCTATGTAGAGAGATCCTATCTAAAAAAAAAACTTCCAAGAATGCAGTTTAGAAAATATGAAATAGGTTGAACTTAAACTATAAAAAGTTAGTAAAATTAGACCAGTCAAGAATTATTGCTCCTGCAGACTTAATAAGGTAGATGAGTAAGAGGAGTAAAACTAAAATGTTTTCTGAAACATGCTGCTTCAAAAGTCAACCTTGAGAGATATTTCCAAGTTAGAATCATCTAACTTTATTCCATGTAGTATATATATATGTAGAAAAATTCAGGTACAGAGAATGAAAATCATAGAAAGAATCACAGATTTTCTACTTTTCAATATTATGTTCAGATCTCTGACTTCTATGGCTGTGTAATAGGCCTTTGTGAAATTTTTGATATTTTTCTCCTTAGGCATAGTTTCAAGTGTACCCACCCAATGATTCATCTGTTTGAACAAAGGTTAACAATGTACTCTTTCTGCATCATTTTGGTTTCAATTTTCCTAATCCATTTTTTTCATACAGACATAGTATTCTTGTAAAACCATCTGTTCTCAGAAAAGCCATCATGTAAATGAGAATGGCATAAGAGCTACTTTTCTAAGTTGTAGCTCATTAATTTGTTCCATGTGTGGATAAACTGGGCAACAATGCTGTTTTGTTTCTGTATGTACCAGACACTAACTTTTTCTCTTCTCTGCTCTTGATCTTCAGGAGGAACAACATGGCCTCTGCATTTGCTTTAGTGCTGTTAGCTCAAACAATGTCTCTGAGGGAAGACAATTTGTATGCACCTGGGAAAACTTTACCAAATGCAATCTTCATTTTGTATTTTGAAAAAAAAAATATTTTCAAGGTGTTTTATTCTTGGCTTCAGCTTTGAACAAATTAGAAAGCCAAAGTGTGGAGGGCAGTTGCCTCTTCATTGTGTGGAAGCCAAACAAAGTAGAGATGCAGGACAACCCTCCTAAAGTGATGTTTTAGGAATGAAGAGAGAATACCACTATATAGAACACACAGAAAAGTCTAGGTTAGAAAAATGGGGCAGGGGCAAGATATATCTTTCCAATGCTTCATCAGCTCCTATAGATTTATAGTTTAGGACCATTGACTAGTAGTGTAGTGTCTCACCAGTTGTATTTGAATGCTGCTGACAAAAGACCCTGATATTTTCACACATTTCTGGAAACTTAAATGAAAACCAAAGACACAGAACTAAATGGTAATTTGTTTGGGACCACAAATCATAAATCCAGACTAGGGGTTGTGGGAGGCTATCTTTTTCCTGCCCCTTAGGATGGATTGGAACCCGGAAACTCCCGCTTTCTCCCAGCCCCAGTTGAACATCTATGTCTCCTGACGCTGTGGAGCAAGATAAGGCCATCTGAGGATGACAAAGATCTTTAAAGCAATGCAGTAACAGTTTTAAAGGTTTTGCTTGGGGAAACCACAGTTTCCTTATTAACCTTGTGTCATCCTTGCAAGAATGCTTTGTTTTGTTTACTAACCCACAGCAATGGCCTCTGCTGTTCTAGGATTCACTCACTACCCACCCTAATGTGTGTATGTGCTCAGTAAAAGGTGGGCGGGTTGGAAAGGTCTTTGTTTTTGCTCAACCTGAGGCACTGCTGTCTCAGCCTCCCTTTGTACATGATTAAATTTGTTTCTGTCTCTTCTTCTTTTGTCATACTCCTCATACAGGCAGTTGGGGGTCTTGGCTGGATCCCTGGCCATAATTTAGCATTATAGCTATGATAAATTCTTTTTATTTTAAATTTAAGTTTTAAAAATTTGTTTGTTGTGGTACTGGAGGTTAAAAAAAATCCAGTCTTCACACTGAGCCATACTGTCTATGTATTTATTTATAGACAAGGTCTTGGTAAGTCACCAAGTTGCCCAGGCTGGGCTCAAACTGGTAATCCCCCTGCCTCAGGCTCCTGGAGTACTAGGACTATCAGTGTGTATTACCATACCCAGCTTAAACACTTCTAAACAGCTCTTATTTAGGGAAAACCCTTTTGGGCTTCCCATAGGGTAGTAAGCCAATGATATTCCTAAGAGATATTGAGGTGAATGTGATATCAACTTCCAGTTTCTTCATATGATGAACAGAAATGTTTTTGTGGTTTTATTATCAAGTTCTAAATACAGAAAGTAGAAAATGAAACTATCCCAAAAGTGGAAGTTATTTTTCCCTGCTTACGTGCTAAGATTTAGTCACTGCCTCTGACAGTCACTATAAAAAATAGATGCTTTCTGAAACTCTGCAGAGGCTGAACAGGGCCAGGAGAGCAACCTGCAAGCATGGCTCAAAACAGAACATCGCCTATGGAAATCTCCTGGGAAATCCTCAAGCAGTACCACATAGATGAAGATGTAGGCTTCGCTCTGCCAAATCCACTGGTAAGAGGCAGCAGTGAAATATGGGAAAATGAGTCTTAATCACTAATTACCTGAGCAGTTTAACTTCTACTGAAAACTGTAGTGCAGTAATGGATAAATCAGTGGCAAAATTGGAAACAGAATTTAAATGACTAGGTCTCATTTGCTGTTTTTCAGTTTGTATTCCTAGAAATTTAGTCAAGTATGTAATTCTTACTTACCTAGTACAAAAATGGAAAGTGATGAGATAAAACTCTGGAAAGTTTTGACTTAAAAAAATTGTACTATAGAAATCAAGAGTTGTTTTATCACAAGTACATTTTTAGATTGCAATTTGAAAAAGTCAATGTTATAAATAGGCCACTAGTCACAGGGAAGATCTTTCCATACTTATATATTTTAAACTGTACAAAGCATTTGGAGCTAATTTGATCCCTAATTTGACTGGGTTCATGAGATGATATTGCAAGTAACTTTGGGTTCTATTAATAACGTTTGCAGTTTACTGGGAATATGAGTCAAACAAGAGTATAAACTTTTTTCCTGTAAGTTTTGTCTATAAAGTATAGGCTATGTGGGGAAAAATGCTTGTCTTAAAAACTACCATCCCCTAAATTGATTCCAAAGAAGTTCATGCAAATCAATTTGTTAGAGGTGAGATAACCATATAGAGGTGTCCAATGCTCACATCCACTTCAACAAAGAGGAACCAGAGTATTAAGGAAATTGTTGCATTTCAAAATAAATGGAACTGGATCCTAGCAAAGGAGAGACAGAAGCTTGTGAGACACAGAGTCTTGGTGTAGTGGCATAGCAGCTGGAATAGCATACACCAAGGCAAAGTATTGTGCCATGACAGGGGACATAAGAGTAGTGCTATCCCTGATGGTATAGATATTCCAAAGACGAGCCAGAAGGTGGCTCTTTAAGAAAAAAGGCAGGAGTTTTTGATTTAATAAAGACAGAAAAATAATGTATGGTAAGAATAAATCTATCAATGAAATTGTGAAGAAAAAAGAAATTCATGCTAAGTTTGCTGAGAGAATTTAAACTGCAGAAGTTACAGTCACAATGCATAGTAAATGCATGGATGGGATGGAAAAGAAATTCAATTTATCATAGGATGTGAGCCCAGGAAAGCCATGATATAAATGGTTTCAAAGTATTTATTTGAAGCTTCAGGCATCACTGGGAGTCTTGGAACTCAATCTCCATGGGTAAGGGGGTTCTGATTACAGCATCTCCTATGTGTCCAGGAACATGCCAGATCTTGCAGGATATATCAAATTAAAAGCACAATATAATCCTTGCCATCACATACAGAGATATAAAGAGACTGTGGATTTATGTTTGAACTACAGTAAATGAGATTGACAAAAGTTATACAAACTGTCTGAGCCTGTGTTCTTTCATTTATGACACTGAGACAACTTCTCAGACCATTGAAGAGATAAATGAGAAATACATAAGATATTCTTGAGCAAAGTGCCTAATTCACTAGTGATATTTAATACATCTTATTTCTCTTTCAAAGAATGTCAAATCTAGCTAAGAAGAAAAATAAAAGTAGCAGATAATAACACAAAAAGACATAATCATAGCATTTATACTGGAAGAGGCTGTTGTCAAGTGCAGAAGTAAGAAAGGTTTCAGGAAAATTTAAGAGTTGAATTTGAAATCAGGCAAGTGCTGGCAGAAAGGAAGTGGAAAACCCAGAGAAAGAGTTCAGTTCTGCCTGTCCTTCACACAGCACAGTGCTTCTGGACAGTGGGTGCTGTCAGGATCGTGTCAAATAAAGGGAGCCAGGTGGGCTGTTGGTGGAAGGCCAGTGTCAGTTTATGGTGATTTCCACTAGCTAATTAAAGTCCTATTTTTCTTTTTTGCTTCTCCAGGAGGAGTTGCCTGAGAAATATAATGCTTGGATTTTGATTGCTAAAAATCTGCCAGAACTGATTAAGACTGGGCAACTTCGTGAAGAAGTTGAGAAGGTTTGAAACATGTATTTCATCTGTCTGCTTTTCACATAGCTTCTTCACAGTGTCATTGAGTTGGAATTATAAACCCTCACAAGACTGATTATAGCAAAATCTTTCCATCTGTTTTCAGCTCCCGATGCTCAGCATTGATGATCTCAAGGAATATGAGCAACAGTGCCTTGGACACTTAGCTCTGGGCTGCATTACCATGGCCTACGTGTGGAACCGGGCAGACGATGATGTCCGGAAGGTTTGGAGATTTACTGATGTTTCCTATGCTACGTGATGGCTTTTCATTTACGTGAAATGAGATGCAATTTATACTTCATGTAAATACTCTCAATTGCTGAAGTTATAGCTCAGACAGAGCACTTGCCAACCATGTGGTAGGCCCTAGATTTGATCTCTAGCAGCAGAAAAAGAAAAGAAATAAAACAGAAAACATTTTTGAGTAGCACTGTAACTACATTTTGAAAGTTTGCAGAAAAAAGAAAAGAGGAAAAGAAAACATCACTCACTGACTTACCATGTCAACTGTTATCATTACTATATTTTAGCATTTTATTCACATAGCACAGTTGTTCCATTTTGTACAATACATTTATAGCCTATTTGTAACTTAATTTACCTTATGAATATTTTCTGGGTACTACACAATAATCCTAGTCATTCAAGCTATAATTTTTTAATGAGTTCCTTGAACTTTATTTACTAAGTAGTCTATTGATAAATATTTTACTTCTTTTTAATATTTCCCAATGATAAAGGACACTACAAGGAATATCTTTGAATAACTCTTCTTAGTTAAGACTAAAGGGCTTATATGTGTCAATATAGAAAAAATATTGGTTTCACTATATCATTATCAACATTAAATAATGTTAAGTGCAAAATAATGTAGTTTAAAATATATCAGTTTATATGTATTTTATATTATGCATTTTTGGGTTAGTCATAGTCTCATCTTATATAAAAATATCAATTATGAGCCGATAGCTACTAAAAATTGTTAGCCTTAATGGCAATTTTACTGTAACACCAACAAAATGTTGTTGCAGTGACCCCTCCTCAGGATTGGTGTAGGGCAGGTGAGTGGCAGCCTTCCAATGTGTCCAAACTGCCAGCCTGTGTTCATTATCTACTCAGCAGTGCAGCTCCAGTGCCTACATTCCCACCCTATGTAGGATTGCCAGTTTAGGCAAGTAGAAAAACAGGAGACCCAAGTTTCAGATGAACAATTTTTTAGTGTATGTATATGTCATTAAATATGCAAATTTATCAAGCATCTCACATTTTACTTGTCCACTGTAATCACATGAAACTATCGCAGATTATAGTACAAAGCTTGAAATCACAAATTAAACAAAAAGATTTCCTGCTATTTAGGAAAGTTTGTCTTTTCTGACAAGGGTAAATGATGTCTTATCTAGGTATTTTTCTGTTCGCATCCTGTTTGAAGACAGATTAGAACATAATCCCTATGTGATGAATCATTTCCAGACATGTAGAGGAGAAGTTGCTCTGGAAATACCTTATACTTTATTGTAACCTTTAAACTGCCACATCCACATTCTGTGTGACACAAAACCCAGAGGACTAATTCTAGTTTTAAAGTCTAACCTAAATTTGATGGAAATGCACAGTCTTACCTAAAATGGCTGGTTCAGCTTGCGGGCATGGTGTATGTAGCCACCTATAGTGAAGGGCAGTGAGTGCTGGGTGCTCCGAGCAGGAAGTGAGAGGACAAAACAGCAGTGGGTGTAGTTATGAGGAACAAGGATACTGGAAACAGAAAGGAAAGATGGAAAACACTAGAAAAACTCAGGGAGATCAGAATGTACATAGCATCTTGACTAAGACAACAGATAAAAAGGAACTTCATCCTTCAGGTAGGGGTGTCTTGGTAGCCAAGCTCTAACATCATCCCTAGTGAAACTTGTTCGTTTGGTTTTTTTTTAAAGTCATCCAGATGAATTTCCTTTTGAACTGAACACTAAAAACAGAAACTGATTTACACTTTCAGCATGTATCATGTCCAAAACTCATTTACAGAGACTTCAGACATGTGTGAGACAATTGATTTTATCTTTTTTTCTAACCAATGGATAATGCTTTGTCTTGTGTAGAAAAATTGCTTAACAAATATTCATGGAGTGATTGGATGAATGATGGAATAAAAGCTATCAGAAAGTAAAGCACGCAGGGTTACTTTGCTCTTTTTCCTCCATATGGCCAAATGATTCCCCCCAAAACCTAAATCCAAAACATGAGTATTTAATAATTACTGGGGTTAAATTATGAAATGTGGAAGAACAAAATACATTTATTTGGTTTCAGTGTGCCATTATATAGAAAACCTATAGTTTTGGCAGTCAGAAAGCTAAAAAAGATGTGAGGCACGTCGGTGGAAAACTAACAACTACACTTTACTTAGGTCTTGCCGAGCAATATTGCTGTGCCTTACTGTGAACTCTCAGAGAAGCTGGGCCTGCCTCCCATTCTGGTTTATGCAGACTGCGTGCTGGCAAACTGGAAGAAAAAGGACCCCCGTGGGTATGTACACTGTGGTTATGAGAGGAGCAGGTGCACGGTATTTCAATAAAAGGATAGCTGCTTACTGGTTGAATTTTAGCAGCACAGCTTCTCTGTTGTTGAGGTTTGTTTCTTGAACCACCGTGTCTGATGCTACAAATGTGCTATACATAAGTGAGAGAGAAGTGTGTAGGCAGCATATCCTACAATGCACAGAGATCCTGTGTTCACTGTGAATTAGACTTGTATTATAGGTAAATAATACCCCAAGCAAAATAGAGCATTTCTGTTATCCCCACAAATTCTTCTGGGCTCATTTCTATCCAGTTCTGTTTTTGGCTCTAGGCAACTACATTCTAATTTGTCTTATCAAAAATGAGTTGGCTTTGTACAAAAATATTAGTAGATTTTGTTGCTGGGTTTTATATCACTGAAGCTGTAGAGTACATACTCTTTTGTGTTTGGTATCTTTTGCTTAACATGCTTTTGAGATGCTACACATTTAATTTTGTGTAGTCACTTACCTTTAAATCAGCCCATCTTTGGAGGACAAGCTACAATGTCTAGGCTGTCAGTGCAGCCCGCTCAGGTACTGCTTAGTGATAGGATTTGCCAAGATAAAGGGACAAGAGCATCCCAGTGTCCTGTGGCTCTCAGTTGCGTGCTGTAAGGAATGCCTTGCACAAGGGAAGGCCACAAAATGAAAGGACTTGATCTAGAAAGTTTCTTATTAGGAAAAATTAATTTTGATTATTCATGTGCATTTCTTACATATTTAGTTTTTTATTTCATTTTAACTGAAATGGTTACAATGCAACATTATACAACATGAAAAGCATTCTTTCTTTTTTGCCTGTTTTAAGTCTGATAAAGCAGTAGTATCCAATCCAATAACAATAACTCAATCTCATGTGAATTTAACTTGTTTTTCTTTCCTTCTTTTCATCATATCATGGCTGCTTTCATAAGACCAATGACCTATGAGTAAGTATTTGAGTCTTCTTTCATTGTAAGAATCATTTGTTATTAAAATAAATTTAATTTTATCAATGTAATTCAAATGCATTTTTCAAATGACTGATTGAATTTAGGCAACAAGTAATTTAAGTAATTATTTAGGAAGTGAATAATAGTTCCTTAATGATGCCTGTGAGTATAATGATATTGATGTCTCTGATATTGTTACCTATAGATACATTCAAAAATATTTATATACAATTAATATGCATAAATGCATGTTGCAAATGAATCTGTGTATCTGTTACCTAATGACCTCTGTGGCCAGAACAAGTAAGTGATGTCAATAAGTAGCCATGTGCCCATTATTTTTTATCCAGTCCTCAACGTATGTACTAAACATAGATAAGAGCTCAGGAATCTAAAGTAAATACAAGTATTATTCTGCCTAGGCATGGTGGAGGAGGAGATATATGGAAATTGTGTAATGTCATATGATTAGGAACAGGGATAAGAAGACCAGGAGCTCTACTCAAATAAAAAACTCAAAAGGAGGAATCTCTGAAGGAGCTATGTAAATGGAATCCAAAAGACTGAGTAGAAATTAGCTAGAAGGTGGAAATGACGAGTGTTCAGAGAAAACTGAAAATATGGAGATCATGAAAGGATAAGTTCTGTGTGTTATCAGAGCTGAATGATCACAGCTGTGAGTGTAAATCATTATTGATGAGAATAATAGTATAAGAAAGGGATGAATGAATACAATAATAGAAAGATTATGTAGACTTTTGCTGGCTATAAACAGAAGCTCAAAGAGTTCCTTTAAATAAAAAAGTTGTAGATAGAAGAACAATATCATCTCTCCCAGAGACAAAGATTGATGATGCCTCGCCTAGGACCATGCAGCAAATAAGCTTGAAGTATGGTCTATCTTCACAACCTGTGAAACTGGCGCAAAACAAGGCATATACCTTAAGACACCAAGACATGTTTGCTCCAATATCACAGCTTTAACAAAAAGAAAAATAGGGCCTAACTAGTTATTTGAATTTGTCCATCAATTCCCTTGTAAAGCAGATAAATCTTGAGAAACTGAATCACGGTCACAGATAAAAATATGCTCATGCATGTATGTATTTAAATAAAAAGGTTACTCCTTGAAAGTCTACCTCCAAAATCATCTATTAACACTGAGTGCACATCCATCATGATAAACTTGCCTGAGAAAAGTTAATAGAATAATACAAACAGACTGATTTTGGGGAATTGCAGTTTCAAGTTCTGCAATAAAATTCCAACTTTCAGCTTAATCTGACTTATTATTAATTATCTGATTTTAGACAATGGGCCTAATATAGCTTGTCTTTTCTTCTCTTTTCATTTGTTTTCTTTTGGTGCTGAGTGTACTGGACAAGCACTTTACCAGTGAAAACTATTTCAGCCCTTTTTGCTGATTCCTAATATTCCCAAATATATAGTGGAGATGTTAAGGTGTACCATGTCCCTCTTGCAAAACCATTTTGACAATAAAATAGGATAAAAAAGTTCATGAAAAGTGTAAATTGCTTTACATGTATACCAGTATCTTTGCTAAATTTCTTGCTTACTTTAACTGACTTTCTTAGGAACATGGACATTCTGTTTTCATTTCCTGGTGGAGACTGCAGCAAAGGTTTTTTCCTGGTTTCTCTGCTGGTGGAGACAGCAGCTTTTTCTGCAGTTAAAGTATGTTTATTCACATCTATGAATTTTATGTCAATTCATATGCACGGAGCTTAGCAACTGCACTATAGCCACTTGCATTGTCTGTGTCTTGATCAATTAGATTGTTTAATTGGGGGTGGTAGGTCATCTAATAAAAATACTTTATTATATTTTTATGTAATGCCTAAAATACAATCTCTAGAGATCATATATGTAGAATCAAATTTAAAATTCCTGTAAGAATAACAATTTTAATGCAATTTGTTATTAATAAGTAATGATAAATTCAGTGTTTTTGACTTTTAAAAATAGAGATAAAAAGCATAGATTTAATTTGTGGATTAAGACAAGAAAAATTTTTCCAGTAGCAGTGTGTAGTGCTATAAGATCTTATGAATTTACCTTTTTCCCTTTCTTTTCCAGGTAATTCCCACTGTACTACAAGCCGTGCAACGTCAGGACAAGGAAACCCTGCAAAACACACTGCTGGACATGGCTAATTGCCTAAGAAACGCCCGGAAAGTGTTCGAGGAGATCCATGGCAAGTGTCACAGGGAGTACTACAGTGGAGCTCATGCTGCACAACCTGAGTGTAGAACTGTTGAAAAAAAGGAAGCAAAAACCAACTATCACTTAGGGTATTCCCACTGATGTATTCTACCTCAGCAAGTTGCTCTTCCCACATAGTTGGCTTTATTAGCTCCATTTTATAGGTAAAAGAACCTAAACTCAAAGAGAGACCATAAATGACTTCAGGTTGTTTAGGTTGAAAAAGGGAAGGTAGGATCCAATCTGAGTCTATTGTACTTAAAGGAGCTGTCTCATCCACTACTATGACCCTCAGAGAAGCCTCTGAAGAGGAGGCAATTTTAAGTTCTGAGAAAGTCAGCTTCTGATAACCGTGGCTCTCTGCTAATTCTGCTTCTTTACCAGTTCACTGGCAGTGGAGAAAAGTCACTGAGCCCAAAGGTTGTTGAAATTAACAGCTAAATGAGCTACCAGAAGTTCCTAAACAGTTATTTACAAGAACACATGCACCCCACAAGATAAATTTCACAAATATATGAGTGTTTACCCTTGGGCTTGCTCTTTGGCAGGGAGAAAGGCCTTCTTGAGGTTTGCTCTTTGGCAGGGAGAAAGGCCTTCAAACCAAATGTGCAATGCATAGGGGAGGAGACTTTAGGGTGTGATCTGTGGAGAGACTGGATTTAATTAAGTAAGTAATTAATTTAACATTTATCTGCAGCGTTCAGGATGGAACCCAGGGTCTCGTGCATGCCGGGCAGGCACTTTACCACTGAGCTGCACCACAGCCCTGACTTGGTTCTAGCATCAGTTTATCTGTTGCCAGTGAGCACCTGAAATGATGTAAGGGAAATAAGTGACTACTGACAGTTTAACTTACCTGATGATGCATAATAGTGGGCAGCTGGCTCTTCATTCCTTGCTCTGCAGCAGGCTGAGCACAGCCCCTCTGGTCTCACAAATGGTGGACAGCAGAATGAGGCTGGTCCTTGGTGACTTCCCAGGTGCAGAAGCACTGGTATATTCGTTGCTTGTGGCCTCCACTGAAATCCTGTCCATGCATCACATTTTGAGTTCCCTGTTGAATGCTGTTAAACTGAACACATTCCATCTTTTCCCAGGATATGTGGACCCAGATCTATTTTACAATGTTCTCCGCAAATATTTGTCTGGGTATGTAATTGTTTCCTTAAATCTGTTGTCTCCCTATTAATAGAAAGAACACACCAAATTTGTACTGATGGTCCCTGTATCTACTGGGTTTAGATCTCCATTTATAGCCTAAAATAAATGTGGAGAAAGAACAGATGGTATTTTCTATTAGCGGTCATTTAAAAAGTGAATTCTTCGTGTTACTGCAAAGATAAGTATCCTTTCTGAGAGTATATGTGATTTATTGTTTTCATGCCTGAAAATTAGTAGGGGGTATGAAATGAGAGTCATGAAATGTATTATTTTTCCTTTTCCTAACCTCTGGTGGAAAATTTCTGAAAATTGTCAGTTAATCCAAAGACTAATTGTCCTTTCCGACCTAGCTGGAAAGGCAACCCCAAGCTGCCCAACGGCCTGCTGTACGAGGGGGTCTGGGATGACCCCAAGCAGTTTGCAGGAGGCAGTGCAGGGCAAAGCAGCATCTTTCAGTGCCTTGACGCTCTTCTGGGCATAGAGCAGACCACAGGAGGAGGTAGGTGGGAAGTGGAAAACAGTAATAACCCCTTGTGTTAATGCAGTCATTACTTCCTTTTGAGAAAATGCTTTCCTATCCGCATCTTAACAACTTGTTGATTTTAAGAGAATCAGTAAAGCATGGACCGCATCGCCATGATCTCACTTCACAGGTGAAGAAGCGGAAACTGCAAAAGAATAGCAATTAGCTCCTTCCAACCTACTAGAAAGGGGCAAGCCCAAAATCAAATGTGCTTAGTCATGCTCCAAATTGGGAGACAAGCATGGAACTAAGGCCTGGTTACCTCTGGAGAAGCCAGTGCCACATATTCTGAAAATGCATGGTGACATTTAGAAAGTCACCTGCAAAAGACACCCAACTGTGGACAGAAGGTGTGAACTCGGAGACCTCAGTGACAGGAGAGGTCTGGACAGCTGATGTGGCCAGTGGTCAAGGGGCCACAATGGGCCATATTCATTATTTTTGTTCTGGAGCTTTGAAGAAGGGGAGAAACCCTTATTTCTAGCTCCTTCTGTTTTCTCAAGCTTCTATTTAACAAAGGGAAAACCACCGGCCCAGATGAAAACATGCTTTTTCTTAATTAAGATACATTTTTAACAAAGAGTACATTTAACTCCTTTAGAGTCAGTGTCATGATCTGGCAAGTGCAGATTAAGTACTCTCTGTCTACACCAACACCCTGCTGGAAAAGCAAACACAGTAGAAAATGAGAAAGAATGCACAGAGAAAAATATTATGAAAAGTGAGTTTTACTCTTCCCATTTTCAGAAATAATAGTAGTTTCCATTACTGCCATTGCTAGTGCAAGAATAATAGCAGTTTAACCCTCAAGGAGGATTCTTCTGCCCTGTCTTGCAAAGACTGTGGTATCCTGGTCACTTGTCTCTGTCCCGTCTTTTAGGACCTGCAGCTGAGTTCATCAAGGAGATGAGAACATACATGCCACCTGCACACAAGGACTTTCTCTATTTCTTGGAGTCCTGCCCATCAGTCCGTGAGTTTGTTCGTTCCAGAGATGATGCTGACTTGAAAGAAGCTTATGATAAGTGTGTGCAAGCGCTGGTCTCCCTGCGGAGCTACCATTTGGGAGTAGTGAAGACCTACGTTCTGGATCCTGCAAAGAAGCAGTCTAGGGAAGAGGAAACTGGCAGTGAGCAATTGGAACAGGAACACAGAGGAACAGGAGGAACTGACTTCATGAATGTCCTAAAGGCTGTGAGAACGAAAACCACGCAATCGCTTTTGAAGGACCGTTAACCTTGCCCTAGCAAGGGCGTCAGCAGCTCACAGAAATCTGCATCTATTCCTGTAACTGATCACTGTGTCAGACTCACAAATTATTAGCATGCAAAAATTTACCAGTGATCCCCTGTAAAAGATTTTAAAATATATTTTTCTGCATTCTGTGCCTTCTTGGTAGGAAATTACCAAAAGATAATTATGTAAGAATATAAAAGATAATATTAGAAAATTTGTGCCCTGCATTTATTATTAAAATACCATCATGAAATTACACAAACAGAAATCATATAGGATGTAATAAAACTTGCTTGATTTTAAATTTTAATTTATTATTCCTCCAGTGTAGATCTCCTCCTTACCCTGAACCTTAAGAGGGCTAATAGACTCCTGGGCTTGAAAATGCTAACATCATATTTTCTCATAACTGCCTGTTTGCTTGGCCACATTTTCACTCCACCGTATGCTTCAGGATGCCAGAGAACTTACAGTTCATCAGACTCAGCTCTTATAAGATGCTTGCAAACCTGTTAAATGAATACATCAAGGAATAAATAAATGTATGAATATATGAGTTAGGCCTAAGAGGGAAGGTTCACCTTTGAAATATAATTTGTCTTGGGAGATTATGTCACTGAACATTCATATTGTGTGATTAGTTTATCTAATAATGGAATTCTATATAGTTAGGGCTTGGGAGAAACAAATTATCCTAGCCAACCTCTTCACCTTCAACATGACAAAGTTGTGACTTCAGAGTGTAAAGTAATTTATTTAGGGTAATGCAATTAGTTACAAGTGGGAGGAACTTTGATTTTCTTGACAACATTCATCTTTTTTCCATTCTGCTTAGAATAGACTAGGGTAGAGGGAGAGGGACTTCAGGTGAGGGAGGAGATGAGTTGACTGGGTAGGAACTCTCAGAACACAAACACTATTCTTCCCGAAAGAAGGAGACACTTGTGACATTTGTAGGAAAATAGATGTAACTTGAGACCAAAATCTTCCATGAATTAATCAGACACACATTCTTATATGAGAAAACTAAAACATGAATAAAGAAGAAAATGAAAGATAGATAATGATGAAAAGGAAGATAGATCTTTTGCAAAAAGGAAGAGAAATAAAAGATGGAGGGAAGGGAATTGGAAAAGGGAAGGGAAGAGAGTGAAAAAATAAATAAGATAGGTTATGTCCATGAACCAACTCCTGCAAGGAATGTAATTATTATGCACTGGGAACATGTGCTATTAAAAAAACTGAAAAAACAGTAAGCCAGATATGAGGGGTGTTATGAAAGTGGGAGGAGAAACACATCATAACAGTCCCATGAGTGTGCAATCAGAAAGTGTTTTGAGTTCATGAAAAGTTCAACTCTGAGATGGAAAATAAGACAGAAATTTAAATAAGTACATGAAGAGTTAAGGAAGGGAATGTGCTCCAACTTCTAAGCACCCTGTTAACATTGCTCCTCAAATATACTCTATTCCCATAAAATCAAATCCGTTGGAAGATTTCACTTGATTCCCTGGGAAATCCAGGAAATGTCAAAAGAAATCATGTTTACATGGCTGGTGATAGTTTATCCTTTGTTCTTCTTGTGACTGATTTTGCAATGAGTATATCATAAAATTTTATAGTAAAAGATTCATATACTGTATCTATATATGCATATACTTAGTTACTTTTTCATCACTGGGGCAAAATGTACAACACTCATAATTTAAGAGAGAAGAGGTTCATATTGGCTCACATTCCTAGTCCATGGTTTGCTTGAGCTAAGGCAGAATCACCTTGGCAGAGGGGCACAGCAGAGAAAAAAGTGCTAAATCTATGGCAGATAGGAAACAATGACAGGTCTTCCTTCCAGTGACCTGCCTCTTCAGACCAGACTCCACCTCCTAAGGGCACATTCAGCTACAAATTAATCTACTAATGAGTACAGTGTCACCAAAAGCCAACCTTTAACACACGAGGCCTTGGGGGACATTCCAGGTCTAAACCACAGCAATACTGAATACACACACATACAACTAAATGTATCTGTGGGGAACTTCAAAAGGACAGTCAGAAAGGTCATCACATTCTTAGAGTTTGATGTAGTAGAGAAATCTGAGTCCAGTGATTGACATATAGGTTCTACCTTGGACATCCATCAGCTTTGTGACCTTAAGGAAAGGTCACATATTTTTGTAAGATGAGCGTAATAATACTTGCTGTTATGACTTTTATCTAGATGTCCCCTCCAAACCTTCATACAGTCAAAGGTGGGGCTCTTTGGAGGTGGCTTGATCAAGAGCTTGTAATGCTGGGATTAAGTGTATGATACTGGGATCGATTTATATTGTGATGCTAGGATTAAGGGTACCTCCCTCTGGGTGTTAGTGATACCTGCCCCAGGGAAGGTAGTCTGGCTAGAATATAAGAGAGATGAAGAGGGCTACTGCTGTCACTTGCAAAAGTACCTTACTAGTCTGCTAGGTGCCTCTCAATCAAACTGTTAGTCAAGACTTTGGCTGAGAGAGGTTCTGGAATGAGTGTCCATGCACTCCAAAAGAGATTCTAAAGTTTTTTTTTTTTCAGGTGTTTTTTGTTCCATTTCCAGAAGACCCAAATGCTTAGCCTAAAAGAAATGAAACCCCTTTCATTTGATCCTGTGTCTTATTGGAAAGCTGAGAATAGAACTCAGGATTCTGGAACTTTTAGTCAACCTGCTCAGAGAGGAAGCTTCTAAGAATAATTAGGTTAACCAACTTCTTCTTGGTAAGTAAACAAGCAGGCAAAATGTCATCCTGACTATGCTCTGTGTTCCTTACTACAGGGTATGTTTGTAGAGCAGGCTGAAAAATGGTACAACACAAACCAGCATGAAGTCCTACGTGACCTCTAGTATCTTGTTCTGAAAATATGAGGTGCGTAATGAAACTCCCAAATATTAATGGAATCCCAGGCACTGGGCTCACTGCTATAAGAAAATACAAAGCTGTTAGGTATGATTTTATCTGTAGAGAGTGTTGTGGCTTGTATCTAGGTGCCCCCCCGCCAAAGCCTCATGCAGTCATAGACAGGGATTTTTGGAGGTGGCTGGATCTAGAGTGTGTGATGTTGGGATCAAGGATACTATACTGAGATCAAGGGTGTGAGTGCTACTGCCCTAGGGGGGGTGGCCTGGATATGACATGAGGTTCCTCTCTTGTCACTTGGTTATTGCTGCTGCTGCTTGTCTTCTGTGATGCCCCTCTGCCATGCCACCCTACCTTGGAGCAGTGGACTATGGACTGAAACCTCTACAAACTGTGAACCAAAATAAACCCTTCATCCTTTAGCTTTGGGGGTCAAGTATTTTATCTTAGCAGGAAGAGAAAAGTAACTAAGACAGATTTTGGTCCTGGAGGGGTGGGGTTGTTGCTATTGTCAGACTCGCCTTGGTCTTGACTTTCCCATCACCTCCCCCACTGTTTTCCAGCAATCACACTGTTTTCAGAAGACTACACTCCCCAGTGAATATGCAGTCATTGGCAGAAGCCAGAAAACCATAAAAAGAGTTGTGTCATCCCTAGACAAATGGGACAGGATGCCATAAAGAAGAGATAAAGCAGAATGTGAGATCTGCTCAGCATCAGAACATATGGTAATGAAGCAGGAGATAAATGGGAGCCCAAACAATGCTACCCAGACATAGACTAGGAGGAAACTGCATCTTTATTTGCCAGTGTGGACTAGTGTCCACCTGAGAGCCTTGAATAGGCTCTTGCTTTTATTTTTATACTATTCTTATTTTATGGGGCAACCTCGTATTTGTGAGCTGTTGTCAGGTATGGTTACAGAAGCAGTAGTGTGACAGCAATTGGGGGGTAAACTGGGAAAAGAAGACCAGAGAGTTCTGGCAGAACTTTCCAAGTCTGTTATGCACCACCGACATTATGTTATAGCTGTACCTATACATCAATTGTCTTGGAGAGCTTAGCTGTACAGCTAACCTATAGTTGCCCAGTTTTACCTCAGGAGGTGATTTCCTCTCAATAACATCTATACATTTGCACCAGATGACCTGAGATCCTTGGTCACGAACGTCAGACCCCCATTACATGATGACTCTTGCCTCACTTGTTGCTTGTTGCTGCTGCTGCTTGTCTTCTGCAATGCACCTCTGCCATTCTGCCTTGTCTTGGAGACAGCCAGTTATGGACTGAAACCTCTACAAACTGTGAGCCAAAATAAAACTTTCCTCCTTTAATTTTGGGTACTGGGTATTTTGTCTCAGTAATGAGAAAAAGTGACTAAGACAGAGGACTTACAGTCTAATAGGAAAGACAAGGTGAATATGTTAGTATCAACCAAGGCAAATCACACTGAGAAATCACACGTTAAAGGACATTTCTGGTTGTATTATCTTTCAGCAGAGAGAAGTTTTGGAAAGGGGACCATGGAAGCATGTATTTGCAGGATTGAAACGATGACTCAAGCTCAGATAGAAAGCATTTTGGGTACAAAAAGACCCCCCAAAAACAGAATGAGTGGGAAAGGAGAAGAATATGAAAACATACTGTTACATTAGGTGCTTCTCTTACAGCTTTTTACTTACTGGTCACATAATGTCCAGAATGTACACCACTGTTTCCTGCAGGTGTGAAAATAAAGGTTTATAACTTTGTGCTACTTGTCAAAAGGCAATCCAGATGACAGATGACAGAGCATAGATCCATTCTTAGGTCATTCTTCCAGAGATACCAGTGGGAAACTCTTGCACCAAGAAGTGGAAAGACAGGAATGTGGTCCATTTCTGATGCCAACTCTTGGGATGGCATTCTATAGAGTAATTCATTACCATAACTCTTGGTATGAGTAACCATAACTCTTCTGTATGAGTAACAAGGGTACTGACCTATATCATTTATTTATAATGTCCCTTTTTATTCTAATAGTTTATGATTTTTATGGCTTTATATGTTACAGTACATTTCCAAAAGGATGCAGAAAGAATGGATGCTGCCATAGTTCCTCCATCTCTTTATATGAGATGAAGGGAAGGTCAAAAGGATAGTCTCCCTACAGAGTTTAGAAATTGAACTTAGGAGCATAAGAAACTGAACTCAGAGATTAGCTGGATATCGAGCTGAGGGTTAATGCATAATTGAGAAAATCTTAGATGTCCCATGATGAATGGCAAAAAGATCAGGCTGCTTTTGACACCTTCAGAAGAAACATCCCTGGGAACAACTGGATGTGTTATCATAGTACTTGCTGCTCTGAGCTTTTGCATGATACAAAAAGAGGGAAGGAAAATCATGAATGAATAAGCTGCTTCCAAATAAAATTATCTACAACATTATGCTTTAAGTTTAGGGTCCATAGCAAAAAAGGGCATTCAGACCTTCCCAGTGCAGATCATTCACCTGGAAACCATTGTGCTATGCTCCACATTAACTGGTCTAGAGAACAGAGCATGCTTGGAAATCAGCACCCTAAGTCCCAGTCCTCATTCTGCTAGCACATAGAGTAATGCTGGAGTGGGTGCTTCATATGCATTGCCTCAGTTTACTAATTTGTAAAATGAAACTGGTAGTACCTACTTCATAAATAAGAATACTCATCTTGATGGCAGGTTTTCAAAAGTTGTTTGACAAAAGAAGTTTGAGTATAATTATGGTGTCAATTAGATGTAAAATTATTTTTTAAAATATGGAGGATTGAATCAAATGATCTGTTTAGGATATTTTTAAGTCCACTGATACCCATGACCTCATTTGTTAAACTTAAAAAAAACTCCATTAATGCAATCGAAGATTTCTCAAACTTATTAAGTAACATTTCTTAAAATAAGTTGAAACAATCCTAAGCTTAGACCATGTTTTTCAAGCTAAATAAAAAACTGTTGTAAGGTTCTGATATACTATTAGAATTCTCCTCTCCACTCGGCTTATCACTGAAACAACTATATGAATGCAACTTCTACTTTTAATAGTTAACTCCTTTTGGAGTAATTTTGACCCAGTTGTCAAAGTTCACCATGGGTCAGAATCATGGCAGAGTATGTGTTTGATCGGTCATAAATAAAAGTCTAGTTTACTTCCCCTTTCCCAAAACTGAACATATTTTTCTCTGAATTTAAAAGCAATTTTCTCTTTTGCATGAACATGAAAGGAAAAGAGGGAATTTTTTTGGAGTTGGATGGTTTGCTTGTTTGTTTTAACCAGCAGTTTTTAATTGTTTGCTCATCTCTGTCTCAGAGCAAGCTCATGACAAGTTGGAATTCAACCTCAGTACAAAGTTCCACTACACCACAAGAGACAACCGAAGGATTCAGTTTTGAACCTCCAATCTCTTGGGACGTTGATTATTTGGATGGGGTTGCTTCTGCAGTGGCAGCTTCTGTGCAGTACTTGGAACAAAATTATGGATCCTCAAAGACAGAATTTGAAGATAACACTGCCATTGTGTTTAGAAAGATACCACATTTCTGAAGAGTATGGCTTTCTTCTTCCAAATCCTCTGGTAAGAATAGGGCCTTGGGCCAGATCAAAACAGATGTCTTTAGATTTTGGGTTTTTGTTTGTTTTTTAAATGTATGTAGTTATTCAGAGATATGTATATACCACACTGTTAACATGAGGAACGTGCTATAAATAAATTTGGGTGTAATTGCCCTCAAAAAAGAGAAGTGAGAGCTATAGCCAAGGGTTATTCAAATGCAATGTTTCGAAGCCAGAAAAATTACTACCAAATAGCTGTCAAGAAAAAGACTGCTTAAAGGTAAGTTGTATAGACAAATAGAAGGCCTCAGGAATTGTAATGTGGTGTTTTCAGGTATATTCTTCTGAAACAAGCAAGAGATGGAATTTCCCCATTATAGATCCAATCTATAGTATACTAGATATGTGTTTGGGACATAAGTTCTTCTGGGAGAGCTTATTCCTTGTATACTCCACGTTACTGCTTTTGACAGCTTGATGTAAACATTTATTTTAACTTGGTGATGGAAAACAAAAGAGAATATGTGGGACCTTTAGTCTGTCTGGAGCTGCTGAAAGGGATTAGATGGCATCAGGAATTTCTGAGAAGAGGAATGAATCTTTGAAACAAAGAGTACCAAGTTCTTAATTCTGCTGAGTGGAGCCTGACATGCAATTCTGCTTCACTGGCTAGTTTTTATCAATGTTGTCTTTTTTATTTCATTAACTGTGCTCTGAGGCATAGAATACTAAAACTGTAAGAGTCCTTGGAAGCCAGCTAGACCCACTCCTGGCTAGCTGAAGTCCAGAATGACAGGCCCAAAGTCATATTAGCAGCAAATGCAGAATTCACCCTCAGGATATTTGGCATCTTTTTCTTATTATATCACAAATAAGGGACAAGGCAATTCAGTTAAAAAGAGCTGCCTTTTGCAGTCATTGTAGTTATTTATTAAAAAAACCCCAGCCTAATTCAACTACTTACCTATGATCAATAAATATCAAGCATTCACTGAGCTTTTGCTAACTAGCTGCTTTTATGATTCTTTTACTTTTGAGGTAAAAGTACTGGAGGAATTTAAATGAAGACAAGAGCCATTTACTGGTCTCAGAAGTTCTTCTGAGGGAGAACTTAGCTGCAAGGTCTAATCACAGTGCTCCAGTTCCCTGCTGACTATGGATCAGGTTTTCCCGTGCAGTCACTCGGTGGTCAGCTGTTTCCACTTGCTGGGTACTGAACGGATTTCTGAGAAGCAGGACTTCCAGTGAAAAGCCCTGGGCAAACCAGAATGAGTCAGCTGCCCTAATTTATACATAGCACCTCCTGGCCCTGAGTCACAACTGACCCTTCTTTTCATAATCTATGGGATAGAGGTCTGGTGCTGTGCTCACAGTATTACTATGAATCATGGATGTGTACACACTGTGATAGATCCAGAGTAAAGATTGGAAGCTGGTGCTTGGGACCCTGTGTTAGCCCAGGGCTTGTTAAAATCTCCATTCTGTGTGTATAATTTGTTGCATTAACTCAGGATTTACTAACATCCTCCCTAGTTCACAAGGAAGAAAGTGCTAATAGACCAACACCTTTAGTTGAAATTAAATGTGTTGCCCTGACCTGAGTAAAATAATGTTGCAAAGGAGGTGAGCACCAGGCAGGGCCACGGTTGTAGAGTTCCCCTTTCGGGTTGTTTCCTTTTTTATAATGTCTAAAGGAGAAGAGAAACAGTAGCAAGTGTTTGTGACATTCTGAGCCTGATAGAATCTGTGCTGCAGTGTAATTGATGGACTTCCCTTAGAAAAAACTTCTACTCCTGGGCTTTTATAAAAAAACAAAACAAAACTTCATAGTTCCACCCTGTGATAGTCATATTTTCCAGATGCTAAAATTCTCTTTCAGTTTTGATTTTCTTTCAGTCATGTGAGGATTTTAAATATTTCCTTTTCTGGGGAGGGTAGAGGAAGGAATTTTTATAAGAAAAGGCCCAGGTTTCCTCAGAAATCAGGAGACACTTAGTTCCTAGCATGCTGCAGGCTGCTGTGTTGCAACTCAACACAGACTGGGAAAGAGTAGTCGTGCACGTCCGCAGAGCCAGAACTGGGCTCTGCTCTCCTCCCGCTCCAGGGCATGTGCTCTTTCTTCACATCAGCTGGCCTCCACAGCGTCCTTTCAGCATCCCTTCCATGTGACCTCTGGGCTTCTTACAACAGGCATACTCCACAATGTCTCCGAAGAAAATATGGTCAAGTTAATGAAGAAGAAAACACTTGGGCTTGAAAGGAGACTGACTTCATCCCAAATATTCTATCCTACCACTTCTATGAACTCCCAACATTTCCAAGTTTTGACATTTCAGTGCAAAAAATTGACACTTTACAGATGCCTACCTGTAAACAGACCACAAAAACCCTTGGCTAGACCATGTGTCCTGAATGTGTACGTGCAAGTATGTGTGTGTGTGTGTGTGGTTGGTATTGATAATTTCTCTTTAGACAAAGAACATAAGAAAATTAGTTTGGCAGGAAAGCAGGAACCAAGATAAGAGAATAGATTCGAGCAAACAGGGAGACCTCAAATGTTGGACTCTGAAATTTAGATGTAACAGATCTGGCAGATGATATCATGCAGCCGGTGCTTAGAGTTTCCTCTCTGCATGATAAGGGTAGTTTGGCTTAGAGGATGGATCCTGGGCTGCTTGACACAGTTCCTTGACAAATTTTTAAAATACCAGTGCAGAGTTGCACTCAGTTAATTCTGAATGTGTAGCTGACCTTGCCTCATTACTGGAGCTCCAGATGGAGGGAAATACAACAGGAGGCCACCAGTGTGGTTCAGGGAGAGAGGTGGGGCCACACATATGAGGCCAGTGGTGGAAAGAAGGTGCTGTGGCTCAGTGAAGCACTGGGGAAGACTAGGAAGTAGTTAACTTACAAAATAAAGGAGATACTCTACATGAACTTTGGGGGCAGGAGAAAAGGATCGATGCAAATAGCTATGAAGGTGTTAGAACTTTCTTCTTTATTATGATCAGTCAGCACTTCAGGAAAAATGGTATCTTGCCCTGTAAATTTCAAAGCACTTGACAGAAGTAGTAGACTCAAGTTGGTTGGAAGAAAACAGAAAATTAACTGCCATAGTAGTCTATATTTTTCAGACAGATTGTAGATAGGACCAGTTAAGATATTTCTTTGAACAATGGTTGAGGCCGGGCGTGGTGGCACACACCTGTAATCCCAACACTCAGGAGGCTGAGGCAGGAGGATCACTGTGAGTTTGAGACCAGCCTGGGCTACAAAGTGAGCTCAAGGCCAGCCTGAACTCATAGTGAGACCATGTCTCAAAAAGAGAGAAAAAAAAAAATCAAAACAAAACAATGGTTGCATTTCTAGGGGATGTATGATCAGCGCCAAATGGGAATTTCAGACAATAACAGTACCATAGCAGAGACAAAGACAAATAAATTAGATTTGATAATACTGGATATTGATCTAATTAAAAGAACATGTTTGAGGATGGAAAAGAATGGAATGAATGAAGAATGGATTTTTGTGCAGTACTAAGGAACCAAGAAAATAGGGTAGAGACAAAGGGGAAATAGGCAAACATGCATAAGGAAGTGGATGCAGAGAGTACTAAAACTGAAATTTTAAATGTGGCAACTCAAGGTGTTCTCACTTTCGACACGAACCAAGTAGATGTATCTTTTTGTTAGAAGAGTCACCATCTAACCTACTTCAGGAAGTGGAGAGAAAAGAAAAAGGAGAAGAAGATGATGGAACAACTGCACCAATGATAACTTAATGTACTGTCCTGTCCCGAGATCCCCAAGCTTGACTTTACAGGCATGAAAGGGAAAAAGACAATGAAAATTGACAATGTAGAATATATAATGGTCAAGGATGGGCTACGGGTATAATTCAGTGATATAAGGTTTGCCTAGCATGACCAAGGCCCTGGATTTAGGCCCAGCACCAAAACACATATTATTATTTAATAATTAAATAATAGACATAAATATAAATTTTAAAATTTAAAATAAATAAAAAATGGTCAAAGAAGTGCAGGGATGCAAAAATAATGTACTGTTGCTCTGATTAGCATTGCTAATTCAAGGATTAATCTTGAGTTATGTTTTTCATGATATGCATTAGTTGCCTTCTCATCATTATCTCTGCTCTGGAGGAGATCAGCTCTCAGATAATATAACCTAGATCTTTGCAATAAAGCCAATGTAGGTGGTAAGTTCTAAATTACATTTTGTATTTCCTCCAAGCTTTCTAGACAATAAAGTTCTCTACTTCTAGACAAATAACTGATATTTTATAATTTCCCAAATGGAAATCCAAGTGAAATTTTCAAATGCATTAGCGAAATTTATTTGCAATCTCTCATATTTAATTAATAGAGCTTTTCTTGTATCTGTGACAAACTCTTTAGAACATATATGGTGTAATGATAGGAATAAATCCATGGAAATGTCCACTTTGTACGGGGCCCCTGCTAACTCTGACTCCGCTTCTGCTCCTCACAGCAGCCTTCACCTTGTGCAAGGGCCTGTTTGGCAATAAACTCATCTCCATCTCTGAAGCATATTTCCTCTGAGACTGACCGCGTTTCTCCATCTTTACCCTGGTTCAGTCTCTCATATCCCCCTTGCCTGCCTCCTCCGTTGATTCTTTATTCCTGCTCTTGCCCAGCTGAAAAACATGCTGTGCATGGCCAGTAGGTTAACTTTTTAAAATGAAAATCAGCCGTGACACTCTACTCTTTACCATTCTCCAAGCGCTCTCGAGTAGAAACTCACATTTTATCTTACGCGAGGTCCTTCACAATGCTTATCTATTTTTCCTCCACTTTACTTTGCTGTAATATCCTGCCAGTCTCTTTCCGTTCCCCACCTTTCCTGTTGATATTTGTCTGGTTTATTTTTGCCCAGGTTTTTATGCTTAACCCTCACTGTGCTCTTTCCTTGGCCAAAAGTTTAGCTAACCAAGCGCTAAATCTAAGAGTTTATTATTTCTACAAAATACATTTAAAAATAT